AGAATTATCGGACTTTGTCGAAGAGTTGCGAACTCTTATGGCTGCTATGCAGCTGTGCTCTCTACCAGAGCAAGTCTGTGTCACCAATTATCATGGAGGGCCTTCGTACGGAGTTCGCGAGGACGGAGGTCTTCCGTGTTTACTCCTCAACGTTTGAACAGGCTGTAGACATAGCGTTGAATGCTGAGTTCAACTTTTAAGCCGCCCGCTATGGCATTCATGGGCATGCCCAAAAATCATTTAATGGGGCTGAGCTCATGGACCTCAGCCATGCTAAAGAAGAAGAGAGAGATCTTCTGGCTGTTAAACAGCAACGTATCGATCGTAGATGTTAGATGTGCGGGAGCACCAAGCACTTGCGCCCTCAGTGCCCACTGCGGAAACCGCGTAAAAAGTCGGCCGAGCCGCAATCCGCTCTACAACCCGAAAGTGGGTAAGGATCGGGAGAACGGCGACTCCCAGTAGGCGCAGGGCGCCCTACTGCGGAGGATCTATGTTCTGCCTAATCTTTAGGTGGTAAAGATATACAGGGCTTAGCCCCAGACGGCCTTGTGGAAGTTTTCATGAGACGTGAGTATAAACCAGGCTTTTTAGTGGCCTCGGTTAAAATTAAGGGCTTTGAAGAGCCGTGGTCAACCTAATTTGGCTCTGGAGCGTCAGGCAACTATGCTCGACGCCAGTGCCTAGAGGGATGTCAGCAATATGCTGAGGCGCTGAAAGCGCATGAGGGTGATGTTATCACTGTTCGCTTAGCAAACGGTGCTCGTGTCACCGTATCTAAATTTCCGTTGAACGTAGGTGTAAAACTTTTAGATTTTGATAGTATCGAGCGTAGTCTTGTCCTGGTTTGTACCTAAGATATGATCTCATACTTGGTATGGCTTGGCTTGAACGCCATGAGCCATGGGTTGATTAGATGTCGAAGACCTTAGGCGCAACGCGCAATGTTCCTAGTGAATCTTTGAAGAGTCATGAACCCGCCTTTGCTAGGCAACAAAAGCGCTACAGGCGCGCACCACTGACGGAGTCTGTCAGTGTGCTGGACATTGGAGTGTCTGAGCTAGTTAACTCTGATGCCATAAAAATTGTGAATCGGCACGTATTCCGTTGAGTAACACTAGTAATGACAGTGAATCACTGAATGCTGAAAGCATTCATGGCTTAAAGCCGAGTAATTTTGGGTGTAATCCCTGTGATGAGCGTGGAGTGGCACGTAAACATCCACAGATTGAAGTCGGCCGTGATGGCACCCCACTAAATGTCGGTAATGACATTGTTGGCAATTCGCTAAGTCACAAAAAACTATGCTCAACATATGCGAGTGTAGAGGAACGTATAGATCCACAGAGTGAGGTCGGCCGTTAGGGCACCACACTTAATGTCGTTAATCAAATTGGCTTTCAGAGAGAACAGGTAGAGGTTAAACAAAATCTTCACCCCGTGGAACCGGATTTTCTTAACACGTTAAAGTGCTCAGTCACTGCACAGAGACGACAGCGACGCCAGATGGCGGATGTGAAAAGAAAGGCTTCTGCCATGACCTAAAAGGACACTAAATGAACAGTTGTGCACGTGATTCAATGGGGTGTCGGGTGCGATTGATGGAGAAGTTGGCCTCGAGGCCCTCCCATCGATATACGCTCTGCTAGAGCTAGACGAAATGTCTGTAGCCGAATTTCACCAAGCCTTAAAGGCTGGTGCTTTGTCCGATATGGTGGTCCGTAGACCTAATCTTGAGTTGAACTCGTCATCCCATTGTAGATGAGACAGTCCATGAGGACATTTAAGAGCACTCAGTGCTCGCAGTGGATCTGCCATTTTGAAGGATCCTTCGGATCCCTTCCATCCCTTAATAAAGGAAATTCTGGACGTGGTGTGTCATGATCCACCATCCACTCTATTTCCCGACAGAGGTGTGCGTCATAAAATTGACCTGGTCCCTGTGACCAATTTTGTATTACACGTTAATGGTCATTGCTAAAAGAATATTGTGACGTCATTTTCTTTCGTGCAAAGGACGCGGCAGGCATGGTGCGGGAGAGCAAATCTCCACACTCGACACCGACCTATTGTGTCAGAAAGCCCAATGGAAAGTGGCGTATTGTGCACGCTTACAAAAAGCTCAATGCGGCCGCTATATCTGCGCAGACACCTATTCCAAGAAAGGATGTTCTTCAGAACGTTATGGTGGGTTGCACCATGTTTAGCGCACTCGACTTTTTAATCGATGGTTATTACCAACTGCTCATGCGAGCGTGTGAATCCCACTCACAGCGGTTCGCACTCCGAATGGCATGCTTTAGGAATGGCTTGTTATGCCTCAAGGACTTATTAATGCCCCCGCAACCTTTAGTCGTCTCGTGACGCAGTGGTCCGTCCTCATAGAGAATATGCACAAAGCTATTTTGATGAAATTTTTGTCCATAGCCGTGCAGAACAAGGAAGATAAGATGTGAAAAATCACAATGATCATTTACGAGCAGTGCTCGGGTGCATGCACACCAACAAGTTGTATTCAAATGCATCTAATTGCACTTTGGTGCTGAGGAAGTCCCTTACCTAGGGTGCTTCATTGGAAAGCGCGGCCTACCGCTAAGGTAAAATCCATTGGGGATTGGCCGATTCCGTCTAACCCAAAAGACTTGCGTAAATGGCTTGGTTTAGCCAATTACTTACACAAGTATAGTGCAAACTATGCTGACATGGCAAGGCCACTAACCAACCTCCTTAAAAAGGACGCTTTTCGGTGTTGGGACTTGGTTCAGGCTCAAGCTTTATAAGCTGTTAAGGAGAGTCTCCTTTATGCTCCAATTTTGGCTTGGCCTGACCCGGAGCGACCTTTCATTGTCGTCTGTGACGCAACTGATTTTGCCATTGGCAGTGCATTGTTGCAAACTGATGTCGATGGACATGAACGCGTCATTGCGTATGAGTCTCGCAAGATAAAAGATGCAATAAAAAAATGTTTAGTCCATGTCGATGGACATGAACGCGTCATTGCGTATGAGTCTCGCAAGATAAAAGATGCAATAAAAAATATTTAGTCCATGTCGATGGACATGAACGCGTCATTGCGTATAAGTCTAGCAAGATAAAAGATGCTGAAAAGAACCATCCAGTATGTGTCGATGGACATGAACGCGTCATTGCGTATGAGTCTCGCAAGCTAAAAGATGCTGAAAAGAACTATCCAGTAAGTTATACTTAGCAAAGAATGAAAGCCAACGGGCCATACGTTGCGAAAGATGAGGCGACTAGGTCGCAGTGCGCAACGAAGCATGATCCGTGAAGATTGCAAACGGCTTGGAGCCAAGTAGATGTACGCTAAAATTGACAAGAGCATACTATAGAAGTTACTTGCAATGAAGTATGCTCTTGTCAATTTTAGATTACATCTACTTGGCTCCAGGCCATAAGAGCATACTATAGAAGTAACTAGCAATGAAGTATGCTCTTGTCAATTTCTGAGTACATCTACTTGGCTCCAAGCCGTTTTTAATCTACACAGATCATGCGTCGTTGCGCACTGCGACCTAGTCGCCTCATCTCTCGCAACGTATGGCCCGTTAGCTTTCATTCTTTGCCGAATATAACTTCGAGGTGAAGTATGAACCAAGGAAGCAAAAGGCTTTGGCCGATGCGTTATCACGCAGGCCGGATTATGAGCTTGCTCGTGTTACGACTCTGTCTTCTTCTTTCCCTTATTTATTCCGTGCGGCTTATGCCAAGGATGATCCGTGTGTCGCGTTGTTACGCGCACTCGGATGTGACAAGTTTAAAGACTCGGACAATAAATTGTCGGCACGCTCGCGTGCTGGGCTACATCGATATTCTTTCGATCATGGCCTCTTGTGTTATAGCACGGATGCGGCAGATACGCCGCGCATCGTCGTACCTCATGATGAGTAATTGAAGTATCGTATCCTCTTTGGGGCGCATGATACAGCTTTGAGCGTTCATCTAGGTCGAGAGAAGACCTATGGCTCGGTCAGCCAACACTGTTGGTGGCCCAAATTTTACAAATGGGTGAGCACATATATGTGTGCTTGTGAATCGTGCCAACGGGTCAAATCCTCCGCTCGTGCGGCTGCGCCTTTGGCGAGTTTGCCTACACCCACGGGTTGTTGGGAATCCCTTAGCATGGACTTTGTGTTTGGTTTGCCAACAATTTTTTAAACGACAACACTGGTACTGTGGTCTTTGTTGACCGTTTGAGTAAGATGACTCATTTAGCGGCTGTGCTGGCTTCGATTGATGGTGAACGCACAGCACAGCTGTTTATCTATCGCGTGTTTCGTCAACACAGTTTGCCTTTGGCAATTGTTTTAGATCGCGATCCTCGCTTTACAGTTTTGGAAGTCCATCTTCAAGGTGCTAGGCACCAGATTAGACATGTCCACCGCGGATCATCCGCAGACCGATGGTCAAACTGAACGCGTTAATCGTTTCGTTGGTGACATTTTGCGCAGCGTTTGCGCAGATACGTTTAGGCGTTGGAGCTCCATGCTTCCGGTGGTCGAATTTGCCATGAACAATTTTAGTCCATGCCTCTACTGGCTACACCCCGTTCTAAGTGAACGGCCTCACCCATCCGCGCGTCCCATTGATAATACCACTCCGTGTTTCTGGGCTTTGTGGGGAGGGATTGCCGATCAGCTTGCTGATGTCAGCCCTGCCACTGTTCAGAAAAAGATTGGTGAGTTTTTGTAAAAAGGTTGAATGTCTTACAACATGTGCAAGATTCAATGGCTGATAGCCAAGAAAAACAAAGGAACAAGCAGATGCCAGAAGCAGAAATTGTTTTGAAAGTTATAGAGTCGGAGCCCAAGTCTTGTTAAACGCTCGAAATCTACCTACAAATGTAGTGGCAGCTGTTTTTAAAATGAGGTTGCGTCCGCGTGTCTTTAAAGCTTTTACGGTTGTGGCCAAGAAGGGCCTTGCGTATACGCTCAACTTGCCGGGCAAATTGCGTACCCATCGCGTCTTTTATGTCGGCCTGCTCAATCCATGCCGGCACCCGTCCCATGTTGACTAGAAGGCGCTTGCGCCGCGTACATTGGCGTTGCCACAGGATGTTGCATTCGAATTAAGAGGTCAAGTTGAGCCTCGACACGAGCCTGACGTGACTCCATCATCTGAAGACGGGCGCGATCGCCTTCCAAAGTCGCCAGACGAGATCGGGCTTCGCCAAGGGTGTTCTGAGTCTGACCCAAAATCTCACGGAAATCTTCCACTTTCTTCACCAACTCATCATGGCTTTTATCCGATACTCCTACCGCCACCGGCGTTGCTTGATAAGCTAGGGAACTTACAGCTCCAAGTGGAGCGGTTACTCCAACGACGTCGTTGTCATAGTCACTAACAATATCTGGTCAAGTGGCGTGGGTACCCTGAGTCTGAAGACTCATGGGAGTATGAGATTCCACTTCGGCAAGATTACCCATACACCGTTGACGTTTTTGAGCGCCACGGCCGAGATCGTCTTGACGAGCACACGCTTCTCATTCGTCGTAGTGAGAGCGGGCGAGATTGTGTCAAAAGATCGACGTGAACTCGTGGCTGCAGAGGCAGCCGAAGCATAGCGGGAGCGTGGTTGTCCCCACAGACGGCCTCTGGCCTTTAACTTCGTGAAGTCATAGCGAAGCTTTCGCTTTACACGAATGTCTGCCACACCGGCACTTTCGCGTAGCGCGTGCATGCTACTGAGGCGTCGAACGCCATGCACCCAGCGGATGAACATATCGTCCTCCGCAATTTTGTCCTCATTTTCGGACATAACGATGGGTACACCGCTTATTTGTGGAACCGGTGTTCCTTGGGCCTGCTTTTGCAGCCGTTTTCTGTATTGACTGAAATTCAGCACATTAGGTTCCAATTACCTCTCTCGAAGAGCCTTGCGGCATTCGATTTCAGTGGGCGTTTTCGCCTCGGGGCCGGTGGCCCATGTCGCCAATGTATGGCGTGACGCTTGACGAATGAGCTATTTCAAGCCAGGTGGAGTGAACGTATATTCACTGTGTCGTTGCAACGTTGTCTGGAATACTTACTTGCGCCGTACGCTTGCCGCTTGATAGAGCATGCGTTGTTGCTCTTAGTCAGCGGGTTAGTGATAATGGATGTACCCATGTGGGACATTGCTCCCAGCGCTGTTAGCGCAGTCGCGGCATTGCGTTCGGGGAACGGATTAGGTGCCGGATGGGTAATGTGCCTTCGCACAGGTGTGCTGGATTTAAACTGCTTTTCCCCCTCGACTTTGGTATCACTACCACTGTCAAATTCCACGTCCTCTACACCAAGGAATTCGGATAATGCCTTATCTTACAGGAGGTGCCCAGGTCGTTCCATGTGAGTGCGTTACTTTGTTACAAGTCTCAATGGGGAGAATGAGTCGAGTGACGTTTGTGGTAACGTCAGTCTGGTGAAGGAGGGTGTAACGGGGTCACACTAGCCATTGGACACATTTGTTAAAGACCTCCTCTAAATGATATGGATGGATGTGTGTGACCTTAGATTTTATATCAGCAAGAGAATATCGATTGATCGATTTTTCCAGGTTTACGGTACTTACCGTGTACGTACTTTGTACCGTCATCATTTGATGACTGAGTGATGTACCGACCATCCATTCAGTTTGAATACTAGTATTTGTATTAGTTCTAGTTTAGTAAAATCTAGGGTACTTAAAGTAGGATTTTGTCGGATAAAAAATCTAAATAAAGTTCAGTTCTCATTTTGAGCAGAAGTCCCTAGACTTCACCCCCCCCCGCTTTTCGCACATTGTGCCCTGCATTTCTTTAGAGCTGCCGTAGCTTAGATAGTCCTTAGACTCCTATTCCCCTGCACGTTGTGCTTGTGGTTCTCTAGAACTACACAGTAGTTGAGCTGTTAGCTCATAGAGTCCACCCGAGTTCCGTAGATCTGGGTGACTCTTTAACTTGATCGATTAGTTCCGTAGAACTATTAGGCTGTCAGCCGTAAGCCGTTGGCTTGTTAAATAAGTTTCCTCTGACTTAACGAGCTGTGTAGCTCCGCTACATCTTGAGTCTCCTGAATTTTATTTCTCCAAGCGCAAGAGCAGTCTCGCCGTACGGTAGAATGCACAATAGAATCAAAACCTGGACTTGGTCAACGGACGGTTTTCACGGGCCCTTTTGGGATTGCCTGCCGTGATTTTCAACGTCATGAGCCGGCAGAATGTAAAATTTAGGAGTCGTAAGACGGTGTAATGGTAGATGTCACGAAGTAGTTACCACACAATTAGACATCTTATAAGTATTAAAAAGCTAAAATATGCATTATGAGCCTCTCATTAATAGCTGCAGATTGCCACGTTAGTGTCATGCATTAGCACCTCGGTCGAAGCGTTGACGTAGCCTTCATCATCTATCAGGTCGAAAGTGAAAAATGGGGGGATGAACGACCTTGTCAAGTGTGGATTGCATTCGACAAGATGGGTTTACACAGATGTGAGTAGTTGTTTCCACGACGGTGCAAGAACATTTTTGGCCTGATAAAGCGGTCCACGTCAGCTATACGTGCAATGATTTTTGATTTAGGCCTCACGATACCATCTCATTTACTGGATTTTCCATCACAAGGCACACACGCGTCTTTATCCACAACACTTGTGTTGAAGCTTCACATGAAAGCGAATCTTTGGGTTCATTCTGTTTACAGGCGCTAATCGCGCATTGCAGAAAATAAACCGTCACATTTCTCGACATTCGATCAGGCGTTCGTATTGCGACCGCCACGATGGATTAGAGTAACGAAGAGTCGCTCGATCGACTCGAGGAGAGTAGGTATCAAAAATTCACGTATACGCATAAAAGCGATGAGGACGAAGGTTTGTTTTTGGGAAGTCAGCAACGCGTCGACCTCTTTCTAAAGCAGCGACTGTTTCTTCGCTGAATGTGGTGATCACTTTTTGAAGACCTATCACTATGGACGGTCATGTTCATGCAAAAGCTGTCGATAGAGAGAGACGCAGACGTATCTTTTAAAATCTACTTATGATGACAGGCTGCAGTATATATCTCAAGTCCGCTTATTAACGCCAGTGTCTCATACGAGTCTGCTAGTTGTACGTGGCTCCTCACCAAGATGATGGCTCTCTTATTTTCCGTATACTTGAAACTACTATACAGAGAAACGATGAGACAAGTGCTCTTCTCTTGCTAGTAGTGCAGAAGCTGTCGGTATTATTCCATAACTACAATACAGAGAAACGATGAGACAAGTGCTCTTCTCTTGCCAGTAGTGCAGAAGCTGTCAATTCTAATCCATGATGCGTCTTGTTATGCACTTGCGCAGCTTCAGTTAGAAGTAAAAGTAAATTTATTGTCGTTCTCTAGTTTCATTTGCCACTACAACATGCCCCTGAACTGGACTGTGACTTGACCACGTATCTGTCCGGGACATTCTTCCTTCCTTCGATCATTGTACGTTGCAACCGTGTCTTTTGCCCTAGTGGTCAGATAGCCACCTCGCTGACCCATCTGTCAAGTCCTTGACGTGTCTCTCCCTGTCCCACCTACCAGATCGCCTTATCGTGGTCCCACATGTCACCTGAAACTGAACACTGGCCAATCAGGTAAGGCCGTAATGTGGTGTATTCCTTAAACCTTAAACTCTGTCCAACATGGTGGTTTCTAATAGACGGGAAGTTGCTTCCTGTGGCTGCGAGACGCGCCCGTCACGCTCATGCGCCAACTTCTTGTGCGTTAGAGGTAGGTTCATGACCAGCATAAACTTTGCTGTTCGAAAAAGTCAGTTTATAGTCGAAAGAATGGTACAAAAAGACGTGCCGCATTCGGCTACAGCTGGTATGATGCAATACAAGTGAGATGTGTGTAGAGTTATGTAAAAGCAAGAGGGGGTGTGTGACTCTAAACAGTTACGCATCGGAAAAGCTAATATAGTAGTTTTAATACATACATACAAATGCTAACAAGAAAACCATGTACAAGTGCACTTATAGGTACAAGTTACAAGACAGGGTCCCTGGACAATTACATTTGTACCCACAAGTGGCAGCGTAAGGATCGTTTTACCAATATTTTTACCACCCATCATGCAGCCAAAAATTGGTATTTCGTTCGTTGCGAATATACACTTATTGAGGTTCGCGAGCAACTTATGCTCTCGCATTGGTGTAAGAATCTTCCGGACGTGGATTCTATGAACCTCCACGTCCGTCTTTCCATCCATAGCCCGGCTATGGACGAAGACATCGTCGAAGTAACTCGGTGCGAAATAGCGCACCGATCGCAACAAATTCGTAACACATCTGTTGAATTTTTGATCTAATAACGCAGATTCAGTTATTTGTACTTACAATTGTAGCAGGAGAAAAGGTGATCAACTAAAATTGCAGCGTATAATTTCACTTTAGTGTACACGACCGGATCAGTGCACTTGATGTTACGCTCAACGCTTAAACAAGAAAATATCAAGTCTTTTGATCGGATAAAATAATACAGCTGCACGATAACACTCGACCATCAATAATTTATTACCCTTAACTAATGAATGTAGACCGTTCAAAATGCAGCTGACTTTTCACTGCCTCTGGTCTTCTGCGTACACCTCAAATACAAGATGATGAACTAATAGCAAAATGACGATGAAATGATGGTCTTATCCCTCAATCGTGCCCACTAATAGATAATAAGAATTGAATTCATCTACAATGATGGGGCAGGAATGAGCAGCATGGAGAGCGAAATTGCTTATTCAACGTCCAGAAGTGCTATCAAAGCTGATAACACATCCTTTGAAGGAGAAGACATGGCAAGAATTTTTTAAGACTACTGATGTTCCTGTAAGGCTCCTGACACGCGATGAATTGCGACAGATCACAGCAGTAACATCAAAGCACAGGATTAGTGACTGTGTTGAGCAGCAAGTGTATAAGTGTAATGGGGTCACACTAGCCATTGGACACATTTGTTAAAGACCTCCTCTAAATGATATGGATGGATGTGTGTGACCTTAGATTTTATATCAGCAAGAGAATATCGATTGATCGATTTTTCCAGGTTTACGGTACTTACCGTGTACGTACTTTGTACCGTCATCATTTGGTGACTGAGTGATGTGCCGACCATCCATTTAGTTTGAATACTAGTATTTGTATTAGTTCTAGTTTAGTAAAATCTAGGGTACTTAAAGTAGGATTTTGTCGGATAAAATATCTAAATAAAGTTCAGTTCTCATTTTGAGCAGAAGTCCCTAGACTTCACCCCCCCCCGCTTTTCGCACATTGTGCCCTGCATTTCTTTAGAGCTGCCGTAGCTTAGATAGTCCTTAGACTCCTATTCCCCTGCACGTTGTGCTTGTGGTTCTCTGGAACTACACAGTAGTTGAGCTGTTAGCTCATAGAGTCCACCCGAGTTCCGTAGATCTGGGTGACTCTTTAACTTGATCTGTTAGTTCCGTAGAACTAATAGGCTGTCAGCCGTAAGCCGTTGGCTTGTTAAATAAGTCTGTCTCTGACTTAAAGAGCTGTGTAGCTCCGCTACAATAAGTGTGTTGTTTAGCATCTCTATCAAACTGTTAACTCTCATTTATTAGTATAGTTTTAAATTTCCGGAAATGGACATTTCAACGACAAGGGGGTAGAGTACGATGTGCATGCGTGAAGAAACGCTCACCGGACGTTTTATGCATTCAATCGGCAAGACTAAATAATAATTTAAACTGATAGATAAGAAATTACGAATTGTGTATTTCAGAAATGTGCGTGGGCTGGTTTTCCGCTGATAAAATTGAGTCGCACAATAAAAACCAAGGTCTGCTGATACGAGCCATACTTTTTCCTTTCTTTCAGCTTAATGCTAAGCTGCAAGGATCGATATACTTATGTATTTATAAAGCTGCGCTATACTGATTTTTTACGCTACGTATAATCTTGGGACTCTATAGTAATTAATGTATTTTCATGTTGCGAATAAAATTTTTATGTAGTGACAAATATATTCCGATTCTCCCCTGGCGCCCACAGAAATTGATTGCAAGGGTGCACGCCCTTATGAGATGATTGTAAATACCTTGTGTTGACTGAACTCGAGGCTGCGTGCTCTTGGCGTCACGTACACGTGGCGTGAGGAAGCGAAGCTAAGTAAACAGAACGAGGAAGTCCGTTTGTGGGGAAAAGAAGAACGGTATGTAACATAGCTAAGATTCTTTGTACATTACCTCTGTCCTGATCTAAATGTAAAAACCACAATATCCTAGGTGAGCTTTTCGCTCCCCAACAGTTGCGCGCATCCCGCATAGATTGGTAGTTAACTTGGCTGATGTAATGTCTACATCAATTAAAGTGGAGCATTTCTGATTATTTTCTCGGGGGGGGGTATCACGCCAGCATCACCTATTCGCGAGTGATGCTTGATTAAAGTTTATCTAAATCAACAATATTCGAAAATTGATACTTTCGTATCACCTTTGTGTAACGAGCCCAACCCATTACACTGATCCTATAAAAACCGCGAGTGTTTACTACCCTCCTTCTTGCTTAGGTACACAAAATCTTTAATTCCGTCTGACAAATAGATCATTACAACTAGAAGATATGAAGCCTATTTTCTAGAGTAGAAGCATTTGTACTGCTCATTGTCAAATGCCATCATAAATAAGAAGGGTAGTTTTTAAAATCAACAGCGGCCTCGATTTTAGTTGCTTGTCGTTGTTCAATCTCTCCACACTTTCCAATTTCCAAATCTCATCGAATATTCTCCTAAAGGGCCGTATACAGCTCGACGTGATATTGCTAATCAACGACTGCGGTGATAGACGGAAAATGCAAAAGTGTTCACCGTCATCTATACGCTAGCAGCAGTAGCAAATATGGCGATGCTCATTTTGTATCGTGGTAGAAGAAAAGTCATCTCAGGTACAGCGAACCCAAATGAACGTACAAAAGGAGCTGTTGTATCATTCGTGATACCAGAAGGATAATACAAGGACTATAAGCTCGTTAAAGTGCCAAAGAAAGCTCTGAAGCAGCAGCCTCTTCATCTTCAGCATTATCATAATGTAACGGGGTGAATCGTTACATAACAATTCATAAGAAATTGTTAATAGAATATAACTATTCGAGTTATATTCTCAGAATATTGTCATAAGGACAAATATTCTGTAGCACTTACTAGTAGTTCCTAATTGGTTGACATAAGCCATTATATCAACCAACGAAGACGCGCCACGACAGACGCACGCAATGAGTGGTGAGCAGATAGCTGATATGCACATTTGTATTCAGACATAGTTAGATGAGGATAAACAGTGGTTTGTTAACAGACATTAACTATGCTAAATACAGTTCTACTTTTTACTTTAACCAAGTACTCGCTTCTTATTACCGTCTTCCTCTGCACGTACGAGTGTACGTGAAGTTCCGAGGCACCGCCTTATTCTGTCATCAGAATAAGTAGCTTGTACTGTTACCAGTACAAGCTTCAGGGTGCCCCGTTACACATAATGTCTCCTCGTGTTCAGCATTTGAATGATGTCACAAAGAAAAGATGGAAAGGACGAGAAAAAGGAGATAAGAGCCTCTTCGTTGTTAGAATCAGTGACTATAACTATACAACAATCATTGGTGACCATCTTTCTCTCATCAGGAACCCGAGTACAACCTGTACATACTTTATTTATACGTCCACTTATATCTGTAATTGTACCCTAAAAAACTCTATTTACAAATAGTGTCATGGGGATCTTGTACAAATGTACTCGTAAAGACAAATGCTCAACCCTTTAAGCGTGCTACAGTTATTTGTAACTACAATTATCTGCCAAGCCTCCTGGTAAAATTGCAGTTGTACCTCCATTGTAACGGGGTAGCCCGTTACATGATATTGACAACAAACGGTGTCAATAGGAATATTGTCTAGCGTGACAATTTCCTACCAAAATTATCCAAGATGGATCATATTGAAGGAATATCATCCCCTTGTAGGACATTATTATTGCGCTGCTCAAAGATTGGTTGATAAAGACGTGTCAACCATAGATTACCACCAATCGCTGCTAGACGCGCGCAATGTGTGGTGAGCAGGTTGTCGTCATACGACGACGTAGATTGATGTAGTTAGATAAAGACTGAATTATGTTGATAACTTGACGGTTTTGATGCAGTTCTCTTTTTATTGTAACGGGGCACCCTGAAGCTTGTACTGGTGACAGTACAAGCTACTTATTCCGATAACAGAATAAGGCGGTGCCTCGTAACTTCACGTACACTAGTACGTGCAGAGGAAGACGGTAAGAAGAAGCGAGTACTTGGTTAGAGTAAAAAGTAGAACTGTATTTATAATAGTTAATGTCTGCAATAAATCACTATTTATCTTCATCTAACTATGTCTAAATACAAATGTGTAAATCAGCTATCTGCTCACCACTCATTGCGTGCGTCTGTCATGGCGCGTCTTCGTTGGTTGATATAATGGCCTATATCAACCAATTGGGAGCTACCTGTAAGTGCTACAGAATATTTGTCCTTATGACAATATTCTGAGAATATAACTCTTATAGTTATATTCTATTAACAATTTCTTATAAATTGTTATGTAACGATTCACCCCGTTACATCACCCCCCCCTTAACCATCAGTCACTTTAGTGACTGATTGACTAAATGGATACTCGTCCCAAATCATTTGGGACAGGGTTTGCACTTGTTGGTCCGCGTCCACTTTCCAACATTTCATCGCATGGTAAACAAGCCCATGCGATGCGCGAGCAAGGCCTCCGAGAGCGCGTCTGCACGTCTCTGTGCGGACGCCGAAGCAGAAACAACTGCAACTGATGTCTCATCGGTTGCTGAAGCGACCCAGCCTGTGTCACTTGGTGACGCAGGCGCTGGTCATGAAGACACTCGTGTCTTCACAGAGTACGAGCTCGGTGTCTCGTACTCTCCTGATACGGATGACGGATCCGTATCGACGGCGATTGAATCTAAGCCGCCTACCAAGCGTGGCATGGACGATGCTTTGCGTCGCAGCATCTTTGGTTCATCTGATGAGTCAGATGAACCATCGCCGAAGCGAAGGCGCTCGAGGTCGCGAGACTCGGGCGCTAATAGTGGTGTCGGTTCTCCAATGGACACCACTTCACAGCGAGGTGCCAGTACTTCTGTCGGCACGTCGCAGGAAGAGCGGGACCGCAATGTGTTGCGTCTCGCTCCAGAAAAGAAGGCATGGATGCCTCCAAAATTCTGTCATGGATCACTTGTCGGCGACGACGAGTGATCGTTATCGAACACGATTGTTCGATTCGTCAAGGATCCATCACCTTGACCCCAGCGCGAAAGACTATCGCGCTGAACATGAGTTCTTCATCGATGCTTTCTTCAGACATCGATGGTACAATGGGAATCACAAACGTGATGGTCCCTCACTACTTCAGGCGTGGAACGCCTACATCCATAACCTCGAGGATGTAGGTCGTGACGCTTGGAACGACAAACTTATCAAAGCTCGTGATAAGTTTGAAAAGCGAACCCCGACAGGTGCACGCTACAAGCTGCATCGTCTGTCAAGAGAGAAAGGATTACCCTGCCTCTCTTGGGGAGACTCGTGCCCATGTTGTGTGAACAACTCTGCACGAGCACCTAAGGAGGCTTACCTCCTTACCAGCCCGTGGTGGCGCGTACGTGTCTCCATTGAGATGTACGAAGGGATTGACAACCTGAAATCCCTTTACGACCGTGCCGGGAAGACTTTCTCCGGTGGTCCTTCTGCGGCACAGGATGTGCCGCGTCGTACTGCTCAACCAGACCCAGTACGTCGATCATCAGTTGGGAGCGGGGCTCCCAAGAATCCCAGGACGGGGGATAGCCGCGCCACCGGACGAGATAACTCGTCCGACGTCCGTTCACGTCGCGGTGGTTCAACAGCTGCTCAACTAGATAGCGCTGGCCACCGCGAGAGTCCTCTAATGGAGGTGGAGGAGGAGGAAAGACGCTCTCCACACGATCATGTGGATCGGTGTGTTCCCGAGAGCTTCTTTGATCGCGTAACGCAAGGGTTACGCGACGATCTCGAGCATGAGCGGAATAGGCGTCTCCAGATGGTGGACACTGCCTCGAAGCATCGAGCTGAGTTTGCCTTTGCTCAGCTTGAGAACGAGAGATCTCTGACATCTCTTCGTGACGAGCTAAGGGTAGCTCGTGGGATTGTTGATCGGTCTCGGGACCAGATAGCTGCTCTTCAGACCCTTGTTGATGCCCACCATCGGGAGCACAAGGCTCTCTGCGAGATGCTTGAGCGCAAGGGCGTTCTTCATCGGAAGAAGCAGCGTACTGATGGTACGGCTTAAGCCGACCAACGTAAAACGTGGGATGCGTTCGCATCTTACGTGGTAACTCGATCGTGTATGCATTGCCTAGGCGGTGCAATACACGAAATGGGCCAATGTACTTGGGTAGTAGTTTACTGCTACCCAAGTTAGTCACTACATGCTTTGGTAGATTAACCGTAGACAGTAGGACTAAGTCACCTTTATTAAATAAAAGAGTGTTTGCCCTTCCATTCTTGTCAGCGTTTTGCTTTTGCTTATCCACCGCTTCGGCGATGGAGTCTTGCACAAAACGGACTACCGTTTCACGAGCCAGTATGAACTCATCTGATGACTCGTTAGCTTCAGTGTGCTGTGAGCGCACTGCAGCAACAACAACCTTTTCTTCAGTGAGGGCTTCCGCACTCTCGCTGGGATCATTGTCTTCAGTGAGGGCTTCCGCACTCTCACTGGTATCATCTTCTTCGATATCGATGTTATCGATATCGGCATCGAACGCAATGACTTCTTCGTCAGAGCGTGATGAGCGTGAACCAAATCGGCTTTTGCTCGCGCGAGTCCCTCCCCCCTTAAACCAGAGTTACACTCTAGTAAGGTGGGTACACGCGGATGGCGCAAGCCATTCACGTAAAACGGTGTATGTGTCGTGGACGCATGCACCGAGTTGTTGATGGCAAACTCTACCATTGGCAAAAACTCACTCCAACTCTTAAAGGAGTGTACGTATCCTCGAAGTATCTCTTCAAGGACACGATTGGCACGTTCCGTCTGACCATCTGACTCTGGATGATCAGATGTTGACATCTTCAAGCGCGTTCCGAGTGATTTGAACACGGAACGCCAGAAATCAGCAGTGAATCGTGGATCTCTGTCTGATACGAGTTCACGGGGCAACCCATGAAGTCGGAAGATGGTGTCAATAAAGACGCAAGCACAGCCACTTGCCGTGATTGTCTCTGGTACAGCCACAAGGTGTACCATTTTGCTGAATCTGTCAACAAATACGAGAATACCCGTATTCCCGCGTGCGTCTTTGGGTAACCCGAAGACGAAATCCATTGAGATGGATTCCCAGCACTCAGCCGGAACCGGTAGAGGCTGTAAAGGTGCACGCAGTGAAGGACTTGACTTCACTCGTTGGCAGACTTCGCATGCGCGAACATACTTTCGCACAAACTGATACTGGCGGGGCCAGTAAAAGTCTCGACTTACCGTGAGATATGTTTTCTCTCGGCCACGATGTCCTCCTATAGGAGCATCGTGATACTCGAACATGATCCGCAAACGCAGATCAGTATTATCTGGAATGACAACACGTGGTGTGTCACCAGAAACGGCTGTATAATACAGTAAACCGTTACGAGTAGTGTATCGATCTGATGCAGATCGATACGCAGGCGACAATCGTTTCAACGATTCTCGGGATGGTTGGGAGAGATGTGACAACAACTTCACTATCTCACCATCTTGGGCGTATGCCCGCCTCACATCATCATACAGCATTGTAGATGGAACTGAGGACGTCATAACCGCAACAGTGACTGTCTCACTGTTGGGTTTCGCGACTGTTTCAAAGTCGGGACGACGTGAGAGTGCATCAGCGACGACATTAAGTCGTCCTGGTTTGTACTCAACCGTAAAGTTGTATTCTGCAAAGAATGACAACCACCGCGCCATTCGTTGTGAAAGGTGCGGGCTGTTCACTGCCGTGCGTAAGGACGCATGGTCAGTGTAAACAACGAAGGGTCTATCTCCTAATAGATAGACTCTGAACTTCGCGAGTGCATACTTCATGGCAAGGAGTTCCTTGTCATGCACTGGATAGTTCCGCTCAGCTGGTTGCAGCTGACGCGACTGATAGCAGACGACGCGTTCAACGCCTTCAAGATCGTACTGCATTAATGCACAGCCGATTGCGAAATCGCTGGCATCACAGACCACATGAAATGGCCTGTCCTGATCGGCTATTGCTAGGACTGGGGATTGTATCAAGCTCTGCTTGATACCCTCAAAGAAGCGTTGACATTCAGCGTTCCATAACCACCTCTCGTTCTTTTTCAACAAACGAGAGAGGTGTACAGTCATCTCGGCGTAATTGCGTGAATACTTATGCAAATACGCCGCTAGCCCAAGGAATTTTCGAAGACCTTTGACATCGACCGGCACAGGCCAGTCGGTGATCGCCTTGATCTTTTCGGGATCAGGACGTACACCGTTCTTACCAACGATGCACCCAAGAAGTGGTATTTCGCTTGCTGCAAATATACACTTCTTGAGGTTTGCATACAATTGATGCTTTCGCATGATTGTAAGAACTTGTCGGACGTGGTACCTGTGAACCTCAACGTCCGACTTTCCATCCATAGCTCGACTATGGATGAATACGTCATCGAAATAACTCGGCGCGAATTCTCGTACTGGCCTCAACAGATGTGATACACACCTGTTGAACGTGGCAGGGGCATTACTGAGCCCTTGTGGCATTACTAGCCATTCCCAGAGCATGCCGCTAGGCGTGCTAACTGCGGTATAGGGTATATCCCGTTCCCGCATTAGGATTTGATAGAAGCCATCCATCAAATCCATGGACGAAAAGATGGTACTCTTTGACATACCATCAATGATTACGTCCTTCCTCGGTATTGGCGTCTGAGCCGGTACCGTTGCAGCGTTCAATTTGTTAAACGCGTGCACTATCCGCCACCCTCCTGTTGCTTTTCGCACACAGAAGGTCGGAGAGCTATGTGGGGAAGTTGATTCCCTCACATGGCCCGCTGCTAAACGATCGGCAAAGAACTTGTCGATCGCAAGTACTTGTTCACGAGGCAGTGGCCACTGCTTCATGACACAGTACTTCGAGCCTGGTTTAAGCTCGACTTCGTGTCGAATACCTTTATCCTTCGGTAATTCGCACGGAACAGTTTCAGGGAATACATCCTTGAATTCAACCAAATCCTCATAGAGAGGATTTTCCTTGAGCGATTCCCATGATTGGGACTCATATCGCTCAATTCGTGTCTTTTCATCTAGGACACTCTCGTCCATAGATGAACTACTGAGAACTCTCTCGTTCTCAGTAAACACTGTTGCTGACCTTATGTCGGTTACACACTCGTCGTCAGCGACGAGTATGCAGATCTGCTTGACTTTGCCACTACGCAGATCACGCAAGAACCTTTTATGTTCGAGCGTTGGCAACTGAGTGATCTCCGAAGTTAACTTCGGAGGCGCAATCAGATCAAGTGTATAAGCGCCTACACATGATCCGTTATTGACTATGACATTCAATGTCTCTGTCATTTCCTGGGGACTTATTCCCTCAGGCTTCGAAGGACTTATTCCTTCGTCTTCCCGGGGACTTATTCCCGCGGGTTTCGGGGAACTTATTTCCGCCGTATTTGTAATCTTGGGACTTATTCCCTTTTCTTCCTCTAGCTGGGGTTGCGCAACCACAGCGAGATCCTCTACGAAAGACTCTCCAGTCGATCTAGGATTATCGTTTCGCTTAACCTGAGCGATCGATTGTTTCTCTTCTAGATGTTCCCCTCTAGGGATACATCTTTGTCCCAGTCCACCCGACTTATTCGAGTGGTGGACCTTCGGCGCAGCCTGTGTTTCCTCACAGCCGCCGGAACTTTGCTCCGAAGTGTAACCGTTTGGTACACTAAGGTTTTGTGCAGTCGTACTAACGACCGTACCACAAGTGAGGCCATCGCACTCACTCGTAGTACATCCACACGCTTGTGGACGCTCCAAAACGTTCATCAGATGGCCATCTGATGAACAAGCGGCAGGCATCGTTACTGTCCGATGTTGCCAGTTTACCCGTGGTTCGTACCTTCTGAGCCACGGTATTCCAAGGATGACATCAAATTTGTCATCCAAATCCAATACGATAAAGTCATCGTCATATTGGGTATCTTCTAGCGTATAGTGAATCTTCACTATACGCTTCATGACGGTTACGGATGCGCCTGTCGCAAGACGTACCGTCATCCTCGTAGGAGGTGTGTCACATTCACTGAATTTAAAGTGACCATCTTCTAGCGATTGGCGTCGAACAAAATTGTTAGACGCCCCACAATCGACTAGAGCTCGAAGGGACAACTTATTCGTCACTTCGAGTTTCAAGGTAATGAGTGAGATCTCATTACCTAGAGCAGCAACGCACAACGTCTGTGTGTTGGGAGCAACCTTCATCAAGAGGCCTACAAATTCTCTTGACGTTGCTGGATCAGTAGGGTGCTCCGCACCTACTGATCCTGTCCGTTTTTTGACGGTCCATCCCGTTGTTGCGTCTTTGCACCAACTGCGGACCCTCGTCCCTGCCCCTTTCTCATGGGTGGACGGTCACTACGCCCAGTGTCGCGAGACACTGGACGAGGGGCACTACACTCGTAAGCGTAGTGTCCTGTCTTCTGACATCTGTTGCATCTCTGCAACTTCTTGTAGCCTGTAGAGCGAACCTTCTCGCTCTCTACATAACAGAGTTCCATCGGCTCTGGACCTCCGTTGTCATATCGTCTCGGTTGACGATATGATGTCGAGCTGGCGCGAGCCTGTCTCAGACTGAAGTCTTCCTGCTCCGCAATGGAAATGGCTTGTTCTAGTGAATCTAGTTCAAGCCGGAACAGGTGAGTCTTGACGGGACCATCCGCAAGACCCTGCATGAACACCGAAACCAACGTGTGTTCATCCACTGGATTGGAACTTATACAACTCGTAAGATGTCGTATGTGTTGAGCGTAAGCGTGCACATCACGCTTACCCTGCTTGAGCTTCAAGAGTTCGGTTCGAGCCCTGAACTCAGCTCTAGGCGGTTCAAACGTTTGTCTGAGCCGCGACTTGAAGACTTCCAACGACCCAAACGCATATGGGTCGTGCAGCTTGAGCCCCAGTGCCCAAGTCTTGGCACGTCCTGCCAGATTTGACTGGGCAAATGCAACTTGCATATCCCCGTCGTCGATGCGACGCGCCCTTATGGCGTCATCCAATTCGACGAACCATCTCAAGAGGGAGTCTTCTTCGACCCCCTATACTTTGAGATGTCAATCTTCAAAGTCTCGGGTCGACGCGAGTGCATCGACCCGCCAGCAGCAGCCTGCTGCTGTCTCAACAGTTCAAACTGTTGAGCACCTTGTTCTCTCAACAACTCTGCTTGTTGAGAACCTTGTTGGTGAAGCAAGGCTACTTTCTCGCGTTCTGCGTCAAGTTCATTTTGAATGAACTTGGCGATAGTAGCATGTTGGGCATCTCTATTGAGAGCCTCTAGCATGACGCTAACAGCATGGATGCCCATGGTCGAACCCATTCGTTCAACCGCATCCCATTCGACATCGCTCAAATGGGAGTAGCCGTCACGCGTAGCGTGAAAGCTTTGGTCATCTTCATCATCCAACATATTCATGTTGGATGTGAACGCGGTCCTTGGACGGACTACGAAGTGCTACCAGGTGTAACGGGGCACCCTGAAGCTTGTACTGGTGACAGTACAAGCTACTTATTCTGATAACAGAATAAGGCGGTGCCTCGTAACTTCACGTACACTCGTACGTGCAGAGGAAGACGGTAAGAAGAAGCGAGTACTTGGTTAGAGTAAAAAGTAGAACTGTATTTATAATAGTTAATGTCTGCAATAAATCACTCTTTATCTTCATCTAACTATGTCTAAATACAAATGTGTAAATCAGTTATCTGCTCACCACTCATTGCGTGCGTCTGTCGTGGCGCGTCTTCGTTGGTTGATATAATGGCCTATATCAACCAATTAGGAACTACTTGTAAGTGCTACAGAATATTTGTCCTTACGACAATATTGTGAAAATATAACTCGAATAGTTATATTCTATTAACAATTTCTTATAAATTGTTATGTAACGATTCACCCCGTTACAAACACAATTGTGCTACTAACAGGTAACTGCAAGTGTATTTTTATAAGCTTTAGATAAAGGTGTGGACTCTTCTATACTAGTTGAGACGCAGAGCTGTAGTCTGAACGCAACCGTGTTGACAGTGTGAAGCTTGAACCTGTCCATTGCTGCTAGTGATTCGTCAAAATAGCGGTCACGACTGTCAGCGAATGCGCAGCCGCTGCAGGAAGATCTCGACGCGTCGCCAACGTCAACGAAACCAGGTTTTCAGTCTTGTCGATTTTAACGCCCACCCCCACCCGACCCCTGCCCACCTACTTGGCTACCTCCCAGCGAATGCTTTCGTCCACGCTTGTCCAAGATAGCGATCGCACTCCAGGCGCCGCATCGAGTATCGAGATAGCATTCCCAAATCTTCACGGTTCAGCTCAAGCCAGTCTTTTTCCCCTTCGGGGGCGGACACTTTGGAAGGAATTCTCCCCAAAGGGAGATCAAAGTGGTCTGGGGTCAGCCTCGAGCGCGCTGCACTCGCTGTCTCGGATGTGGAGGCAGTGGACCGGCGGGTCGCGTCAGCGGCCAGGAAGGGGGAGGTAATGGGATGGAGCGCTTCGGCAGTCGCACAGTCCAAGTCCTGGGGGTCGCGCCAGCAGCCAAGCCGGGGCCCACCATCGCAGATGGCTCGGCTCCAGGGGCATATCACGAAGTGTCGGCGTTTCCCGTGCCTTGTTGTTACTTTGGTAACTACACTCTCCGTCGATGGGCCGCTCGAGCGGCAGAAAGAGGCCCACCGTCGCAGATGGATGAGCCCCGCGGGAAGACATCACGACGGGTTGGCGTCCTTTACGCCTCGTAATACTTCTTCAGTGGCCATACTTTACGTCGATTGCCGCGCAAGCGGCAAACGGAAGCCCGCCATCGCGGATGGACCGGCTTTTAAGAGATTTTAAACCCATCCACGGTGAGCACCCGGTTTTTCCGGCGTTGCCTTCTTGGCTAATGCTGTACCAGAAATCATAGACATTGTTAATTCCGTGTAAATAGACCATCAGTTCCACATTAAAAAAATCGAGATAGTTGACGCCTATATTCATGACGTGCAGGAAATAGCCAGTAAACATACAGAATGCACACTCGCTGTCATGTGGAGCTTTTCCACAAAGAGGGTTGCGGCTGTAGAAGCGCGTATGACTTTATAACAAAGGTCCACTACATCCAATTGATGTCGCGAGGTCTACAGCGTTGTACATAGGTGCTTTCGCCAATCGCGTCATCAGGTTAAGACAGCCGGTTTGCGCCTTCCAAGAAGCTACATTGCACTTGGGTGCACAGCTATTCTCGTCGACTGCATCCTGCTGTGGACAGGGCGGTACTTCACTGCGCAGAAATCCAGTGGCGATCAGATCTAATGATGACGGCAATGTGTGGATTTGGATCATGGCGCGACTGCAATGACAATGTTGTATTGATTCGTGGCTCGTCTCTTTGGTGCAAGGCCTCGTATCGTTTGAAAGCCTCATCCGTTGTCGTGTATCCATGTTTCGGGTTGCCAGGGCAAAGCATACACTATAGTAGATCACAAGTAGAAGTTCCCAAAACACTAGGTGATATAATTGTAAAGCTGACAGGTAGCACGTGCCACGAGAATAAGTGGGTAGAGAAAAGTGCAATAATGCCTCCATGATCTCAGTTCTCGATTGAATTTACAGCCCCCTCGACCTGCAGTACTGAGCCTCCTAGCTCGTGTCTGCACAATGCGCACTGTTGATGTCATCGTTGAGCCTATTATTGTGCCGGAGGTCGCACGCCGCTTGACTCACTATAACCCTAGACCTTTTGAAAATTTGACCTGTCAGCCGTCTAAACAATCAGCCCGCTGCTGATTAGATGCGCTTAAATGATTCGCACTGCTGTCGTCGGACTTTGACCGTAAACACGCCTTTCCTGGAGCAATGATGTGCCAGGTATACGATGATCCCAATCCGTGTCGTCCGGCTCTTGCCGCGGCCGGCCGCAAGTCCGTGTACCCAACAGTTTGTTTACGGCTACGTAAGATCGACGGAGAATTCCGACCACGCACTGTTCGACTCTGCTGACGGCCATGCTGTGTTCTAGATTACGGGTATCCAGAACTCACAGTCGGTGATTCTATGACTCTGTCGCACTGATCACGGCCAATGCGTCAGAGCCAGCGACTCACCGACTGCTGAGCCCTAGGCTTGTTTATGCACGATTTGAACCTTGCGATTGCGACGACTAGTACGTTAACAAAAGGACGGCTTTATCGATGCTCCCCTTTTGTCACTGGATTTACGGCGCCTCTGGCTTCCGAGTGTCGCCGTCCGAAGGATCATTCCGCAATTTGCAACGGTCTTGGTAAGCGCACTCGAGAACTCCAGGACAATGCGAATCTACGGCGGCTCTCTTCTCTATTTGAGCACTGTTGTCGCTCTCGCTGCCAGTCAAAATGTCTGCCGTCCTTTTCGCAATTGCGAACACCTATCGGATGAGGAACTCATTGTTCACGAAAATCAGTGTCTCCATTTAACTGAAAAAAAGGATTGCTGTTCTGATTCATGCGGCACACCACGATGCGACTCCGGCCCAGTCTGCGTGGAGGGGACAGCAGAGCATGCGAAAGCGAACATCGAATGCGCTCGTAGATTCACCGATATTGGGTCAACAAAATACCTTGAGTGCTGTGGCTGCTGCCATACGGACAATTTTCTCCAGTGTTTCTACAAACTCTAAAATGCGCATCAGTCGTAAGTTTTCCAAAGTGCCGCGCGGGACTCGACTCGGATGCACGGACAAGATCATCTCAGATCGTCCAGAACGAGCGCAAAGGATAATCATGGACAGTAGCAACGTCGATGAGTTAGCGTAACTGAAAACAAGTTTGTTGTGATTCTCGCTATTTAATGTTTGTTGTGCTCCATCGTTGGTGATGTCTGTGCTTTCGAGTTGCTTAGAGTTGTTGTGGTCAATTCCAGAAAATCGTAGTTTGTCCATTGTGTTGTCAACCTTACGCTGTGGGGTTTCTTTTGGAACCTAGCCGACTATCCAAAGTCTTTTGGTATTCCCCCTGCTATGAATATCACACGAAAAACGTAACAGGTCCAAAGCCATGTACCGGTAAGCGAAGTAGAGAACTCAAAACCGCCACCCGTCGACCGCACACTTTTAAACGTACACACTGTAGGTTCTTTAACATGTCTATTGTTCTTCATTCGGCCAGTGTCTCGGGTCACGCCAAGTACATCAACTACAAATATGCTACGAAACCTATCATTTCTTAATCAAGTCATAGTGCCAAATTCGTATGTTTACACCACTTATAAGACCTGTCTAGCACTCAGATTGAAGTAGTTTGATCGCCTCGCTTATCACATAGCTGATTGTGCAGGGGAAATGATTTGGGATCTGAAAGGGAAACGATACTCAGCCACCACCCTTTCGTTTAACAGCCACCACCCACCAATAAATTTCCAAAAGTGTACATCACTTTCAAAAAGAGTTGCATTTCATTGGATAAAAGTTGGGCTGGGTATTTCTAAGCTCCGATCTTTTCTATAATTACACCAATGTACGCTTTTTGTGTGCTGTCATCTAAAATTGATATAAGGTTTGTTTTTAAATTGCTGATTATTACTGAAAGTCTTAAAACACCAGCCAGATTGCGTAAGAGTTTTAAAAAAGAAGTTAAGGCAGCAAAAGAAACCCTTGCAGAACAACAAAGCTATGTCGTGGTAGCTAAATGTACAAAAAAGGATAGGCAATACAGACATAATTTCATAAAATTAAATTTACTCTGCTCTAATTCAAACACACTATCGATATGTAAACGACATCTTTGATGTAACGAAGTAGTCCTTTGCATGATATTGATATCAAACGGTGTCAATAGGGATAGTGTCTAGCGTGACAATATCCTACCAATAACATCCAAGATGGATCACATTAAAGAAATATTATCCCCTTGTAGGGGGATAATATTTCTTGCGCTGCTTAAAGATTGGTTGATAAAGACAAATCGATCATAGATAACCACCAATTGCTGCTAGACGCACGCATTGAATGGCGAGCAGGTTGTCGTTATACGACTATGTAGATTAATATAATTAAATAAAGATTAAAGTTTTATTGATAGCTTAACTACAATAAATAGAGTTCTCTTTTTACCCTTTACTTGACCGAGTCTTTCAAGTAGATCACGAAACTTCACGTACTAGTGTACGTGAAGTTTCGTGGCACCCCAAGCAAAGGTTGCCCCGCTACACCTGGTAGCACTTTATAGTAAGTTTAACGACTACTTAGTGTACGTCCAACATGAACATGTTGGACGTAGAAGACGATAGCTTTCACGTCACACGTGAAGGCTACTCCCATATGAGTGACTCAGAATGGGAGTTAGTCGGTCGCATGAGTGTGCTCATGGGCGAACCCGCCATCAGTGGTGTGTTGGAGTCTCTAAGCAGAGACCAGCAACATGCCGCTATCAACAAGTTCCTACAAGGGGAACTTGCTGTCGAAAGACAGAAGATAGCCTTGCTGTTGTAGCAAGGCTCTCATCAGTCGATGGGCGGGCCGACGCACATGCGTTGACCCGAAACCGTGAAGATTGATATCTCAAGGTATAAGGGAACCGATGAAGATTCGCCTTTTAAGATGGTTCGTCGAGTTAGACGATGCCATCAGGGCCCGTCATATCGAAGATGACTTGGGCCTTAGGGATCTAGTTTCACGACCCAAACGTGTTTTAGTCGTCAGAGATCTTAAAGAATCGGCTAAAAGAGAGGTTAATGCCGCCGAGAGCCGATTTCAGAGCACGCTCTGCACTCTTGAGGCTTGAAAAGGTAAGCGTGACGTGCACGCTTACGCACAATACCTACAATACCTTGCGAGTAGCGCCACTGAAACCCTGTTAATGAGCACATGCTCATCAACGTGTTCATCTACGGACTTGTAGATGGGCCGGTGAAGACCTACATGTTCCGAGAGGACTTCCTTACGCTGGAAAGGGCAATAGCGTATGAGGAAAGAGAGGACTTTAGTTTGAGAAAGTCTCAGGCTAACTCGTCAAACTATCGTCCGACGAGACGACAGGAAACAGGAGGTCCCGAACCTATGGACCTCTGTTACATCGAGAGAGAGAACTCTCGATCTCTGAGTCACAAGCGAACGGCAAGATGCCACCACTGTCAGAAGATTGGACACTACACTCATAGGTGTAGTGTCCCAAGCACCGCATCACGTCCAAAGACAGGACGCGATGACCACCGTTGGCCGAGGAGAATTCCAAGGCGCGGGTCCGACCTTGTCGCTTAGCCGCGACAGCAAGTCGGGCCGTCAAAAAAAAGTTCAGGGTCAGTAGGGGCGGAGCACCATGCTGATCCAGCAGCGTCAAGAGAATTTGCAGAATTCTTGACGAAGAAGGCTCTCAATACGCAGTCTCTGTGTGTTACTGCCCTTAGTGACGAGGAGTCGCTCATTGCTTTGAAGATCGAAGTGACAAGTGGAATGTCACTTCGCGCCCTAAATGACGGCGGGTGTCGAACAGTTCTATTCGACGCCAGTCGCTAGAAGATAGTAGGCTCAACTATGTTGATCGAGAGTTCCCTCCAACGAGGATGACAGTGTGCCTTGATACAGGCGCATCCGTAACAGTGAACAAAAGTGTAGTGGGAATCCACTAAACGCTAAAAGGAAAGCAGTACGATGATGAATTCATCGTACTAGATTTGAATGACAAATTTGATGTCATCCTCGGTCTGCCATGGCTTCGAAAATACCGGCCATGGGTTACCTGGCAGCATCGATCCGTGATGATAACTGCCGTTTGTTCATCAGATGGCC